TACCTGTGGACCTCGCCTTTCTTCCCCAAAAAAGTGTAAGATACAATGCAGGGGGTGGAGTTGTTGTTGTTGTTTTGTACCATAGACTCAGAACCATAGCTGCCCCTCAGGTTGGGACAGTTTTTCAGAGGCAGTAAACCACACGGGAGGAGATTGCACATCTTTCTCCTGGGGGTTATTAGATATTATAATTAATTAGTTATGTTAATCAATGGCAACTAATCTTACAAAACTAAATGTCTATGAATGAATGCATTAAAACTACTACAATCTTACAATTTTTCACTCAGATTTAAAAGAGAAACAAAAATACCTTTGCTCCCAGAGAAGACAACTCCTGGAAGCATAAATATACATATTAAGTACCACTAGCATATTCATGGTATTTAGTACATGGGTACCTGGTAATTGTTTGTTAAATGTATAACTGATAAATGAATACATTAATTCTAAGAAATTATCAGTCAAGTACCTGTCTACATTACACATCAAAAACTACAAGTTCAAGTTCCATTGTTTTGTTTGTTTGTTTTTTATTTTACTTTATCTTTTATATCAGGGTTAAGGAAGAGCTTTCAAGAAAAGCTCTATTCCAGGAGGGGAAAAAAATAATCACCACTCCAAGGGCTCGGCTGACCCCTCAGGTAAGCAGGAATGGTATGTGGAATCTTGGTTTTTTTCTGCTTAGCTGCATCTCCAGACAGGCCAAGGGGAAGGGAAGGGAAAGCCCCATGCAGCTTGGACATGGTCCTGCTGCTCCAAGGCTTTGAGATTTCATTTCTCCAAGAAGATTGCTTTAATAAAAATCTTCCAGAGAGGAAGCAGAAAAAAACAGTCATTAAATGCCAAAGAAAGGAAAGGAAAAACAAATTATTAACAAGAAATGCAGTAGAGATATTAAGAGGAAAATAAGGAGATGAGTCACTTAGGAATAAAAGTAAATGTGTCAACACCCCCCCTCCCAATACATATAAATATCTAACGTGTGTATATGTCTGTCTACAACAAAAGGAAATGCTCATAAGTGTTTTAGTTCTCGATTTTCTCATCTGTAAAATGACTTTAAAACAGATTTCAGATTTCTTTATTCTTTACACTTTTCAAGGCTACCAAAAGCATACCTTATGTGATGTTATTTTTGATGTTGTTTTAGTGCTGTGATTGGACTATGACTCATGGTGACCCTGTGAAAGCAGATTTGACAGCAGTATGTACATTTACCTGTGAGAAGGCAAAGGAGTTTACACTTCATGGAGCATTTCTATGCTATGTGAGGTCTCCAGCAGTCAGAAACAACAACTCCATGGCTACCCTCAAATCCAACAGTGACAACTGAGTTTTCTAAGTATTCTAAAAATATTCAGGTTGTCTTAAGGTTTAAAGCATAAAAATGACCCATGATTCTGAATGACTCAGAGGTTAATAAAAGCTTTCACTGCTAGGCCACTGATTTGAGAGCAACTACAGTAGCTCATCATTGCAGGACACAGCCACCCTTGCAGCTGTTTTGCTCACAATCTGTAGAACTGTGTTGCTTGTCTCTATTAATACCCTTTGGACAGGTGTATACATTCCAGTTTATATGCATCTGCCAATCCTTAGTGCTTCTGAGCAGAATGGTGCAAGCCACAGCAGCTGTTATCTTTGAAAGCCCCTCACAGTGCCTGCCTGTCCTTTCGATCTAAAATACTAAATAATAGTATTTCATATTTATAGCAGGTCTTCCTACCTAAAACCAACATAATCAAGGAAAGACAGCCATACAGAACTTCTGAGAGGACTCCATTACCATCCTAGGAAACTAGGAAGGCAACAGATCATCTTTCACCCTAGGAAAAGTCAATAAAAGCCAAACCAAATGAGAAAGTCTGCACTTATGAGGGCTCAGTGGTCTCAGAAGGGAAACTGTACATGTCACTGGGACTGGGTGTTCACAAAACGAACACAAGCCATTGAGAAAGGTGCTTCTAAAATTTATATACTTGGGCTTTATCTACTCAGACTGTATAAGCTACTGTAACAGTCAGTGTCTTTCTTGGTACTCAACAACCTTTAAATAAACACTTGTTATCATACCAGAATTTAATCCAGGCCAATGAAACTGGATGGGATCTACCAAGCACTTCCATAAAAAAAGTTCCCCGAAGCCACAGTCACCTTAATAACTGAAGGAAGAATAATTATAAGTTGAAAAGTGAAACTATTATTTTTAAAACACTGTATAGAACTATTACTTTACTGACAAATTTGTACTAAATGCACTATATTGTCCTAAATACTGTTGATCCTTGTCAAGCTGTGGCATTAATTTAGTTCATGGCAGTAACAGAAAGTGACTTAACATCCAAGAACGCAACTTCTAAGTTCCTATCTTCTTTCAAAGAACTCAGCATCTCTTTAGAATTTACATTTCAGTAGGCAATGTTCCAATCCACATTTAACAATAAAGCAGAGTCCCTAGTAAGTGTTTTAAGCAAGTTTTACTCTGCTTTATTTTCACAAATGATGTTAAATAGCACACCAAGTATCTGGCACAAGTTCAAAACAGATAATAAACAAATAAAAAACCCTAATACTTCATTCCAAATAGCTCTTTTTTTTTTTAACTGTTCAAAATCCTTGAGTGTTCAGGCTTGACAGATTTACTTCTCCCATGCCTAGCAACTCTTTTAAGAAATAAAGCATTAACTATTCCCTTCTGATCTAGTTTGGTTCCATAAGGCTGTGAAATATCCATGCAGTCTGATTCTGTTTTGCTTTAGAACTGGTGAGTTATTACGGCTCACAATTATATTTCACTGAACAGGCACAGAGAGGTTGAATCTGTGGGAGCAACAGGCAAACAGGAGAAGAGACTGGCAAGGAGAGTGGGGCACTGGCAAGGCAAAGGTCAGCTTTAAAAAGGGTGGTCAGAGAAACTCACAGAGGTGACATTTGAATATGGACTTGAGGGAGGGAGGGAGAGGGAAGAAGCGACATTCAGAAGGATAATCCAGACTCAAGGAAGAGTAAGAGCAAAAACCCTGGGGAGGGAAGCCTGCCCACGAGCATGACTCATCTTTCCTTCTTGTTTATTATTTTAAATAGTGTCTATTTTTTCTTTGACATAATTCAACACTAATGATGATGATGTTCATCACAAAGTAATACCATTTGTTATCATAAAATATTGTATACTCCTTAAGTTTTTAATATAATTGACTTGATAGGGTCGGTACACACCGTTGTCTACATAAGTCAGATGTTCACAACTTGGGAATGGCCTATGTTGTTTCTGTGCTATCACAGGCTGCCTTGTATTATTCTTGCGTACACATCTGCTCTGACAGAGGTACTCATGGAACAGAGCCCATGTGCTGGTCATGTCTGAATCCCACCACAGGGCTTTGCACAAGGAAGATTCAAGGTATTTGTTAGATGGTGATGTCATAGAAACGACCACAATGAGCAGCAGACATTCTTCTTGTTTTAAGTAACTGTGTGGATAAAGCATGAAAGAGACATCATAGTCTCTGACAGGCATTTGGATAATTTCAAGTACCCAGACCAAATTACTGTTCGTGCCGCACTAAATGCTATGGAAGTTTCCCTTTACATTTGCAGCAGAACACAGTAGACACTTTCAGCCTCAACGAGGGCATGAATTCCTCGCAAAACACAGAGGAATACCAGTTTCAGTCCTGTTTGTTCAATCTTACTGGACATTTGGGGAGCTCTGGTGACCTTGGGGGTTATGAAGTTGTGCTGACAATCCAAAGGCAGGTGGTTTGAATCCAACAGCTGCTCCACAGGAAAAAGATGGGCAACAGCTTCCCATGTGATTTACAGCCTCTGAAAATCCACTGCAGGGTCAGCTATGAGGCAGCTCTGACTCAAAGGCCATGAGTGAGCAGTCAATACGTGACTGTATAAAACAGATTCAATGTGAAATTACCAGACATCAGGATTTTCAGTGTCCACAAAATCTAGCAAGACACCTAGGTACAACTTTAGAAAACACAGAGAAATATTTTCTGAAAGAATTTCAGTGTTAGCCTGGAGTGTGGGGGCTGAGGTAAAGCTCCACAGAGGAGCTGGAACCTGAACAGACACGATTTTGAAAGAGGAACAGGCCTAGGACAATCAGACCCAGGATCAAAGGGCATTTTGGATTGTGCAAAACACTGGCAGACAGTAAAAGACTGAAAACTGCTGGAGGAATGCATGCACCATCCCTGAAGTCAGACTGATACATGGCCTTTTTAAAACTTGCAAGGGAAAACAAAACAAAAACTTTCAAATAAGGGCTAAGGAGGAATGCTAACCAAGTAGCGGTGCTTGTTTTGGTAAACCTCTTAAGCTTGCTTGGCTTTTTGGTTTTGCTCTTTCTGTTTTGTTTTTTTCTCTTAAAGAAATACAGTGCTGGGCTGTCTTACAACTTCAGAGAAAAGTACTTCAACTTTACTGTGGAAAAAGAAAACTGAAAAGTGGGCTGTGGGCCAAGGAATAAATCAATGGGGGCGGGGAGAGTACTCCTCTGCTGGAATAAACAAATGGCACAAAATCCAGGTATCATGGATCTGAAGTATATAGAGGTCTATTAACTCTTCACTAACTCAATACAGATTTGTTATAAGCTTATCATTTGTTATTCTCTGGGATGCCACACCAATGAGGCACTCTCTCTGCCCTCCTTTTGAGCAAGCTCTTGCATGTAAGCAAAGGAAATAAGTGAAGGATAAATCACTGTACTCTGTTCCTTCCACGGCTGCCAACCAAAGCATGAAGGTCCGAGAAGTTAAATTCCAGTTAAGTAAACCAGTGAGGACAAAACACACTTAAAGAGTAATAATATTATTACAACCACCACAAGTGAGATGTGAGGAACTGATAGCGAGCCTCAGCCAGGGTGTCTCATCACGTCTTCCTGTGGGCAGCGAGCTCCCCAGAGGGACCTGCTCGCCAGTGATTTGGAATGATGAACAGGGCACACTAGAGCCTAGAGAAGAGGGTGAAGTTACCTGTGAGCTCAGGTAGATTTTGAGGCACTCCTCGCACACGGCATTCTTGCAGCAGGGCAAGGGCTTGATGGGCTTGTCATCCAGGCACACCCGGCACATCAGCACCATGAGGGGCTCATAGGGATCCCCTACCCCGCCCAGCCCAGAGGGTGGAGCTCCCAACAGGCTGGGCACAGAGTATGGCTCGGGTGCCAGGTAGAACTCCAGTTCGATGCTGCCGCCGTCGGGGGAGAGGGTATCAGCTGGAAGGGGCAGCTGGGGGCTGGGGAAGGAGGAGGGGGTGCTGGGAGGGCTGGGCACCGGCGGAGGGGACCCCCGAGGCGGCGAGCCAGGAGGCGGGAGCTGCTCGGGGTCAGGCAGGTCGTTCTCCACGCAGTACACGGTGCAGAAGATGTGCTTCTTGGCCGGGGGTGGGCGCCGCTGGCCCAGCACGTCCAGGACCAGCCCGTCAGGGAGCCGGGTGCAGGTCTCCGGCCCGGCTTCTCCACTGGAGGTCAGCTCCGGCTCTGCATCCCCTCCCACTCCTTGGTCCTCGGCTCCCCCCTCCTCCTCCTCCAGCTGCAGCTGTAACGTCTGGGGGTTGAGGGGCTCAGTGAGTGCCAGTCCCTCTGGCGGCCCCAGCGCTTGGCTCTTCCTCCAGCCCGGGGCCCTCTGATTCCTCTCGGGCTCCAGGGCGCTCCCGTCCACGCGGCCCAAGTCGCTTCCGCAGCCGCGGCCACTGGGCTCCGCGGAATCGGCGCGCGACCTGGGCGCCCCGTCGCTGTG